GCTCAGGTGTAAATCTGGGGTGGTTTGGGGACTCGCCGCCGCCGTAGGCGATTTCCGGCGGCGGCAGACGGCGGAGACGGTGAGGGTTCTCTAAGAGTGTGTGGGGACGATGAGAGGGGGTAGGGGGTGCGTTCAGACAGCTTTATACCTGAAGATCCTAGCTTCCCAGAAGTTCGATCGAGAAACCTCGACGGCTAGGATTTAAAATTAGCCAAACGGGGCCGTTTTTGTATGGCTGGGTTGGACCGGGTCTGGGGTTCAACATTTGGGCTGGATTGCAGGGTTTTGGACGGGTTTAAGGAGATTTTGGCTTGGGCTTGACCAGATTAAGGGAGATTGGCCCAATGCTGGTCTCTCTTTTGTTTCTCTTTTCTTTTATTTCCTTTTTAATCTTTTTCTTCTCAAATTAAAACAAAACTAAAATTAAACCTAAAAAACTAAATTAACTTACCAAACTATATTAAGCTATACTTAATAATCAAAACTATTAATAAAATACCAATTTAAAGAAAACTAATAAACCTAAAACTAAAATTAAAGCCATACAAAACAAATCAAAACTTCTTTGTGATTTTTTTGTATTTTTTGTACAAGCCTAATTACTAATTAGTCTAAAAATATGCAAAATTGAATCCTAAATGCTCATGCAATATTTTTTGTATTTTTTTAATGAATTATCATGCACACACGAGTAAAAATACACACAAAATTACGCAATTAAATCCTAAAAATCAAATAATAAAAGGGAAATCCTAATTTTAAGAATTCTAAAGGAATATTTGAGCGAGGCAAAAATCACGTGCTCACAGGGTTGTACTGAATTTTCAGTAAAAAAAGGTACAAGGAATAATTTTCACGTATAAGAGAGCGTTAAGATAAATAACAGTACTGTAGTCTATTGACCAATAAAATCTATGGGTGTTTAACGGGTGGGCCGGGCCGGGCCTCTATTTTTTGGACCCGTACGGGTTACGGTCCGGGTCGGTTCCGGGTTGGTTCTTAACGGGTTTAACGGATTCGGGTTCATCCGGGTAAAAATTGAACCGTAAGGGTTACGGGTTGAGGGGGGCGGGCCGGGCCGGGTTTAGTGTATTTTTAATATTTTTTTTGGATTTTTGTATAAATATTGTAAGTTATACTAATACAAAGTACTAACATAAAGAATACAAGGAAGATGAGAAAAAATTGCACTTATTGCAAGTGCTAGTTTTATTTCATAATTCAAACATACAAATTGAAAGGTTTACATTTTTAACAACAAGTAAATTCAAAGGTTTTGCATTGCCTTAGTAAGTTCTTCATAATCAATATGAACCGATTGACCTTCTTCTGGAGTGTTAAAATTCGGATGGGTTACCATGTGTTAATATATCTCCAAGTTCCTCGTCTTCTGGGCTATCAACATCTTCACGTCCTTGATTTCTTAGTTACGATCTAATCCAATCTCTGAAACATACTAAAACTTCCAAAGCATTGCTTCCCTATGAGTGGCGGGTGTCTCCAAGTTGTTGTCTTGCTTGGCTAAATGCACTCTCCGATGCAACAGTAGAAATTGGCACATTCAGCACGTCCCGAGCTATAGCGAAAAGAACAGGAAATTGCTTTCCATTCTCATGCCACCATCCCAACGGTGAAAATTCCTTTGTGCGAGGCTCTTTTTGCTTCTGCAAGTAGAATTGAAGTTCATCAATGTTCCTGCTACTGGTTTGAGTGTTAGAAAATGTAGAAAAAAATATTAAAACTATTAAAGCCTTCTTCATCATCAACAGTAGCAGAAGTGCTACAGTGCATAGTGGGATTAACATTGCCTTCAGTACGAGCAGCATCATCAATTACATTTGCATAATAATTATATAATTGTTGTAAATATTCATTTAGCATGTTCATAGAAACATATAAATCTGGGGTTTCAGTTGCTCCAATCTCCATATAAGTATATAAAGCATTCATTAATTGGTGACAATCAGACATCTTAATAGAAGGATTTAAAACAGCACCAATTAAGTAAATCGGAGGAATTGGAAAGAAATATTTTTTGAATTTTGCTTGCATTTTTTCCACAACATTCTTATATTTTTCTTTCTTCTTAAATTCAAAGAGTAGAAAAGTAATTTCAGCTATATGTACTAAAGCCATAGTAACAGTAGGGTAATATGCTCCAGAAAACTCAACAGTAGCTGTATAAAATTTATGTAAAAATCTAACAACATCATTAATGACCTCCCAAGTACTAGTTGTTAACATACGGTTTGGATCAGTACAATGCGCATTAGCAACTTCAGTTATTGGGAATCTATATTTGTAGCAACATTTTAAAAATATATATGTATAATTCCATCTAGTAACAATTTCGTCTGGCATGAATCTGGGTTTAAGGTTATACTGGACACACTTATTCTTAAATTCCGTTATTCTAGATTGTCTATTATTTCCTTGAATAACACCAACTGCTCTTCTAGCACGAGTAATCTCAGTTGAAAATAAATCAAGACCACTTTTAACAATTAAATTATAAACATGACATGTATACCTAACATGAAAAATTTCAGCAAGAGGTGGTTGCAAATGCATTTTTAATATTGAAATTGCGGCATTATTGTTAGAAGCATTATCAAAAGACATACACAATACTTTTTGCTTTAGATTATAAAATTCAACTACTTCACAAATAGTACTACTTATAAATGCAGCAGTATGACTCTGATCTTCATCATATCTAAAAGCGATAATATGTTTTTGCACACAAGTAGTATCATCTATCCAATGACATGTAATTGTCAAATAATCATTTCCATTAACAGCATGGCCAATATCAGAAGTTAGAGAAACTCTACAAGGAAGGTGGCTAAACAAATAACGTATGTATGTTTGATATTGTCCATGAAGTCTAAAGATATCAGCTCTACAAGTACTTCTAGGGATACCTTTAAATAAAGGATTTTAAATCCTTTGAATATACATAATAAGATATGATGAAGAAGCAAAAGAAAAAGGTAGACAACCCAAAGCAATCATTTTTGCTAACTCCTCAAGATCCTTCATTTTATCATATTTCACTAGACCTCCAGTAGTAGGGTTAATAGTTGTTTGATTTCCATCACCATCAGCGCCCCATTCTATGGGATGCTCAGTTCACATATGTCTACTAAGCGTCCCAGTCCCCCCTAAATTTCCTCCAGTTAAATGTTTAAAATCACCTTTACAAAGTTTGCATTTAACTCTATCAGTACCTTCTATTATTTCAAAAAAATTCCAAACCTTACTTCTTTTCCTACGATTAGTAGTCGGAGCCACAGGTGGTCTACTACTAGTGCCACGACCACCACCCCTTGTAGCAACCCCAACACTACCAACTCCAACACTAGTAGGTGTAGCTGGTATCTCATCTTCCATTCCTATTTCATTATCTTCTATTCCAAAATCTTCTTGTAATTGTTCATAATCTATATCTACATTATCATTAGGCGATGATTCAGAAACATGTGTGAATGATAATGGGTTATTACTATTACTACCAGATGCTGAAGGACTACCTTTTTTTTTATTTTCCCTATCAGTAACTCTTTTACACGCTCTTTTAGCAGCATTAAACATATTGTAAAATTTAAAGTATAAGCTAAAATTAAATATGCAATTAAAATATTAAATAAGAGAAAGAGTTGGAGGGCCAAATAAAATTAGAAGATGACAAAACACGATAAATTAAATTCAAGAAAAGAGAGTCAAATAAAATTAGAAGATGAAATGATGAATTGAAGACTTGAAGTCTTGAGAATGAGAGAATGAGAGAAATTGAGATTGAGAAATGAGTATTGAGTGAAGAAATGAAGGGGGGGGGGGGGGTAGGGGGTAGTTTATAGTTTTAGAGAAGGTTAGTTTTGTAAATTGAAAAAGGGTTAAAAATAAATAAAAAAAATAGGCTATTTGTGCGATATTTCCATTGGCCAACGGACCAAAACATGGTCTGACCGTTGCCAACTGTCAGTGGGGCCCACCATTTCGAAAAATTAAAAAAAAATATAGCCGTTTGAACCGGGCCGGTCCGCGCCGGTTAACCCGGTAAGAGGTACTATTCACTCTATCGGGTTCAACCGGTTCCGGTTACCCATTTGGGCCTACTAAACCGAGCCAACCCCCCTACCCAGCCCAGCCCAGCCCCCTCTTACCGATCCGGGCCGGTTCTGGGTTCTACCGGTCTGGGCCGGTCCGGAACCGGGCTGACCCGGCCCGTTTAACACCTCTAATAAAATCGTAGGTGCAACTTTAAAAATTATAGTTCAAATCACAACATAGACATAAAAAAAGTTTAGTTGGTTCTTTCCATCAGCTTAATTCTTTACGGCAAAGCTATACGATAGTTATACTGATGGGAAGTATATCAGTGAAAAATATTTGAGGTGGACACAAACTGACAAATACCACTATAAAAAATTAAATATCTTCGTCAATTGAAAAAAATTACTATATTTCAACTTTACGTGCAAATTTATAGTTAAATTCTGAATAATTAAAATCTCCTTTTCAAGAACGCCCACCACGAGCTTGATTACTATTGCCATCCAAACCAGCCGAAGGACATTTTCGACGCTCGTGTCCTGTTTGCGAGCATATACCACATCTGCGCGCATAAACGGTATCACTAACATCCATTTGGTTCCGTATACACGTTCTCTTCTGCACCTGCATTCGACGCAAATAGGACTTGTTACACACCATTTTAAATGGTTCAGGCTGCCAATAATGCTCAGCACCCACTGGCTGCAACTGCCCACAATATGTGTTTAGGTACTTCGCAACACTATATTGTTGATCAACATAGTTGGTTATACCTAAACCAACTTTTTGAAAGCACTTGGAGGCATGTGGTAGATAGACCATTTCCCACAAGAGCATAACCTTGTAGATTCATTTATAGTATGTACATTATTCCCCCGATTTTGATGGATAGCGGTGCGAACTTCAAAAATATTTCTTTCGTTATCATACTGCAAAAATAAATGTCAATGTGCTCGCCATCTGTACTTCTCAAATCTCTTCATCGGCACTGGCAAAAATTCAACACCCCTCTCCATCAATGACGTTGCAGTTGCAGAACTTTCAAGAAACCTCTCTGTCATCTGCTTGAACGACATCCGCACCATGGCTGTGACAGGAAATCCTCTAGCCGACTTCAATAACCCGTTGAAAGACTCTGACACATTTGTAGTCAAAGTTCCCCATCGTCTGCTACCATCCGCATGCAAAGTCCACTTTTCAGGGTCATGTCGCATTAACCAACAATAGGTTGCCCCGTCTTCTTGTCTGATTGTCACGACCCCAAATCCGGTCGTGATGGCGCCCAACAATATTGCTAGGCAAGCCTGACCACAATCGTTCCAAAATTAACCGTAAACCTCAAATTGACAATCTAAAGAGATTATAATAGTATTAGAATAATAACCCAATATTTATAATAGAATAATACTGAAAAAAATGCGAAGTCTGATAAAACGCTCCCAAAGACCTGGGGTCACGAGTCTAGAGCCTCTAAAACAATCTGAATAACAATATCTGAACGAAAATACTCAAGTCTGGAAATGTATATATAAATAAAACTGAAATAGGAAGAGTAGTCAGGTCCTGCGAACGTCAAGCAGCTACCTCAACAACTCTGATAAGCTCTGGAAAACAAAGACTACTCAGCTAAGCCTCCGGTGTACCTGAATCTGCACACAAGGTGCAGGGAGTAGGGGTGAGTACTACCGACTCAGTGAGTAATAAGCATATAAATTGTCTGAAGATAAGAAATCCACGAAATGCCACAAAGCAAAGCTAAAACTAACAGTCTTACACCTTACTACAATCTAACAGCAAAACAACTTCAAATAATACAGTCAAGTAAAATGTAATGATGCAATGCAATGCACATGACCGCTACGGCGCGTAGCTCGATCCATTTAACGTCGACGGCGCTCACTGGGGGTGTGTACAGACTCCGGAGGGGCTCCTTCAGCCCAAGCGCAATATAATCATATCATTCGCTGCGGCGTGCAGCCCGATCCATACTCAGTCCACAATATGCATATGAGTCACGTAACAGATTCAATTAATTTCCCAATTTCCAATTTATTAAGAAGAATATACTTTAGATATTTAACTTCAGGAAAAGTGACTTAGCATTTCATAACAGTGATTAAACACAGGACTGAGATCAATGATTAAACAAAGCATGCTATCACAATGACATTTATCCTCTAAGGATGCTACAGATCGGCACAAGGCCCCAAACACGGCAATAAGCCCAGATATATTCAATACAGGGTGCGTATCAGTCGCCAATATAGAAATATTCTTGTTCGGGATGGACTAAGTCTCAATCCCCAGATATAACCAATCCCACACCTGCCATGGGGTGCGAGTCACGCCCTACAATAGCGTCACAATGTGATAAGCCGAGGTTTCAAACCCTCAGGCCATCATATACACCAACTACTCACCTCTAACCGGCCGTAGAATGGTCCGCAATGCCTTTTCCTTTCGTATCGACCTCCTCGCGTGTAGAATCTAGTCAAAATCACAACGAATACATAAATATGGGTTAAAGAAACATAACCCAATCATAAATACTCGAAAAGTACTAAAATTCACGAAGTTGGTAAAACCCGAGCCCCGGGCCCACTTCTCGAAAAATTCCGAAAATCACACCAATAGATTCCTCGTCTCGCCACAAGTCCGTGCATATAAAGTTTACCAAAATCGGAGCTCGTTTGACCCTCCAAATTCTATTTTTACATCACAGCTTTCCAAGCCCTGCTTGACCCGTTTTTGAGGAATTTTCTACAATTTACATGTAATTTCTACCATAAAATCGAATATTTAGGCCAAGGAACTTACCTCCAAGTGATTCTCAATCAAAAACCTCGAATTTCCTTGTTCAAAGCTCTTAAGAACGTCAACAATGGAGGAAAATTATGAAAGGGTAGCGGATGAAATATTATTTTAAAACCCTTCTGTCGCCCAGCGATTTTCGCTTCTGCGGTCCCGCTTTCGCTTATGCGGGACCGCTTCTGCGGCCACATTTCCGCTTAAGCGGTTTTCACTTAGAAGCCCGGACTTCGCTTATGCGACGCGAAGTCCGCTTCTGCGGTTCCTTCAAAACCGCTTCTGCGGCACATTGTCCGCTTATGCGGACCCGCTGGTGCGAGCCACCTTCCGCATCTGCGGAAATTTCCCTAGCCGGCCACGACCGCTTCTGCGACCACGTACCCGCTTCTGCAGTCCATTTCCGCAGAAGCGGAAACACCAGATGACAGAAAATCTGACCTGCAATTACACCTCAAAACTCTCGTTTAACCACCCGAATTCTCCCCGAGGCCCTCGGGACCTCAACCAAATGCACAGATATGTTCTATTACTTCATTCAAACTTGCTCGTAACATAAAAACACTATCATAAACACAAAAATCATCGAATTACCACGGATTCAAGCCTAAGTTAAACTAAAACTTCCGAAACTTGCATTTGATCTAAAACCCGACCTAAACACCTCCGAATGATCTGAAACTTTGCACGCATATCCAAAAATCACCTAACGGAGCTACTGCAACTCTCGGAATTCTATTCCGACCCTCGGATCAAAATCTCACCTACCATCCGGAATTCGCCAAAATCCAACCTTAGCCAATTCAAGCCTAATTCTACACCGGACCTCCAAATTCAATTCCGATTGCGCTCCTAAGTCACAAATCATCCCCCGAAACTAGTCGAATCATAGGAAATCCATTCCGAGCCTTCTAACTCATAAGTCAACATTCGGTTGACTTTTCCAAACTGACCTTCTCATAAAGAGACTTATTGTCTCATTTCCAATCGAACTCTATCCGAATTACTTCAAATTCTCCAAACACATATAATGAAACATATAGAAGCATAAAACGGGGAAAACGGGGCGATAACTCCCGTAACGACGGGTCGGGTCGTTACAGCGGTCCTGCTTTCTTCTTCTCTATCTTTACCATAGTTGTATTTTGGATTTTTCCCAGACTATGTTGGTGTTGTTGTTATCAGAAAAGTTTGTAGTAGTGACTCATGACTCAGTGACACCCCGATGTTTGGGACTTTACTTTCAGCATTTCTATTTTTGAGTTCAACTTTTGTTTTCTTTTATGAGATTCTGCTAAACATGATGTCTTTTGGTATAACTTTTAATGAATTATCGTAGTATTGTGGAAGTCGGCTGGCCTAGTACTATTGATAGGCGCCATCACGATAGGTTTGAGTTTAGGGTCGTGACATGAACAAGTAAAAGTGAACGCGCGGAGTAATTAATAATTAAAATATGTATCCCCTTTATTTAATGTTAGATGAGATTTTATTGATTTTAGCTTTGATTTTTATCCAACTAAGGCAACTAATATAGATTTTTTTACACTTATTCTATAAGCAATACAATTAAAAAAAAAAGAATTAACACTTCTTACCTTGAGTATGCCAATTAAAGTGTTTTCATAAATAAGTTGAACTAGTAATAGCATAATGACATATAAGGTTAAATGAAAGGATTCTAATCATTAAAAATCTAATTAGCTTGAAAAATGTTGCAAGTTCACCCGAAAAGTTCAAGAAAAGATAGTACAAATCCAACATTATAAAGAACATGGATTCAAGTTGGAGTGAATTAAGACAAAAAAAAAGTCGAAAGTAACCAAATATCATTAATGATAAGTACATAATTAAGTAATTTTTAATTCTTAATTTTGTTGGAGCCTAAAGTTATTTAATTTCTTTGGTGTCTTTGGGGGTAGAGTTGGCCCTCTCTGGACACAGGATAGTAGAACATACTCAATGTGCATTAAGGATATACTTCCTTTAGAGAACCAGATGCCTTTGTTTGTCGGTAGAATTAGTATTCATGGTGAGAATAAATTTCTAGAGGATCTTGAAAAGAATTTAACGTCTGTCGAGTGATGATTTACGTATATACACAATAACAAACAATTGGTGAAGTTAGTTCTGGACATTCTATTCATCTTCTACATGCAACACAAAATTTCCCAAAAAAAGCTCCTAGGTAGAAGTTTCTCTATTAATTTCGGTAAAAGAGAATTGAACTAGAATTTTCTCACGATTGCATTATATACACAAGAAATTGGAAAGTATATTAGGCAATATAAAGATAATTCTAAAAAACTAGAACTAACAGCTAGGAAAGAATCATGGGAATAATTGATGATTGACAACAAACTGCTAGCTAGGGAAGAGAGATTTTTGTGATAGTTTGAGCAAAAGCCAAATTTAGTATTCCCTTTTTTCCCATAAATCGGTTATAGTATAGTCTTTTTGAAAGACAGAGAACGTTTAATTCATATATTAATATTGTTATTTATATTGATAAGAATTAGTTCAAGTTAATAAGATTTTAGCCATATATTGCAATACATTACATTGGATATTGTTGCAAAAAACTTATTAATAGGATGAAGATTTAAATAATTAATTAAAATTCTAAAATATTACTACTATTAAAAAGTAGGCAATCTTTCTTTCTTTCATTTTTTATAAAAAATTTGTACTTGTTATAAATAGAATTTTATTTATGGTGAATGTCTATATTTAGAGAGATTCTAGGGTTTATTACTAGGTGGCTAAGTCACCCTCTCTCTATGAATAGAGGGTTTCTATTCCATTGTAATTCATCCCATATCAATAAGAAATCTCTCTCTCTACTTTTCTCTGTACTATTCTTCTTCTTTTATTGTTTCATAACACGTTATCAGCACAAGACTCTAACCAATTGAGTAGAAGCTTTCGATTGAGCATAATGATTATCAATTATTCCATAAACTTCCTTCATGATTAAATTTTGGATTTAAGGTAAGTATTTTACTTTATTTTTCTCTTTTAAATTCTTGAAATTCTATAATTTGATTTTATATACAAGCAAAGACAACAAAGTTTGATTATAACTCTAATGGAGTTTGTAAGAAATTATAACCACCTGAAGTGGTAAACTTTCTATGTCTTGCCATGATCAAATTCATGTATGATTATGAGCACAAGAAGTGAAAATCCGTCCCATTGAATTTGCTCCATTCTCATTCCTTTAAGAGAATGTGATAGCAATATGTGATAAGTCTGAAAGAAGACAAAATTATTACCGTGAAGGTATCAATGGATGTGGACGTGGCAATAGACGAAATTATAATCGTCATCATTATGATAATGAGAATGATAAGGATTCTCAAAATAATCCTTCACTCTCTGAAAGTAATATTCGTCATCGATTTGACATGAGATTTTATAAAGCACATATAGATGATTATGGTCCATTCATGATGTGAATGTGACAACATCTGATTTATGAATACATATTCATTCTTGGAGGAATATGAACGTGCTAGTGGTAGTGAATATACCACGCTCACCTCTAGAAGGAGGTTTGAGAGGAAATAAGAAAATAATGTCATTATTATGGCATAAATGGTCATTGGTCACGTACTTATTGTACGCCAAAATATTTTGGCACTGTGATTATTAAAAGACAATGGTAATGCATGAAACATATCTTGCACATAATTTTGACCATAACCATAATGGTATAACTTTCTCTTTAAAAGAGATATTCACCATATGTCTGTTGATGAATATGTGGTACTACAAAATTAATTGAGAGCTCTGGAAGAGCCAATTATTACTATTTTGGAGAAACACAATTAATTACCAATAAGGTATTGTGTTGTAGTAAGTCTCAAAGAAACTTATTCAGTTTCCAAAGTATACGCGAAAGCGATTGATTATATTGAGACTATAAATAAAGGAAAGATTTAATATCTTCTATTACTACAACTTGTAGCAGGGTAATATGTATGTGAAAAGCTACCCGCTTTATTCTTCGGTTTGTACTACACAAACAAAAGAATGCCACAATAAAGAGAAGTTTATTGATATAAAAACCCATATCATAATAAACTTGGAGTTTATTGATAATTGCACACGTCATGGTGTAAATATGAAGTTTATCAATATTGATAATTTATTCAGTTGGCATAATTGGTTTACCCATATCAATTTAAGTATGATGTGCAAAAATAAAAGAGAATTCACATGGGTAAATATTAAAGAACTAGAAAGTTCTTTACGAATTCTCTTATGTTGCCTGTTCTCATTAATTGATAAATCAACTAAAATTGGGATTGGATCCCATGAATGTTGGAAATATCAAAGGTGAATATGAGCCCATTCACCTGCCATGTATACTACATAAGATGCATCTATGAGATGGTTACATGTGCGAATATTAATAACCCGCAACATGGTGTTTTGCGAGGTAACTTGCTCAATAATTTAATTTCGAGCATAATTTCCAGATTTTCTATTCAAGAAGTTCATCTTGATAAGTTGGTTTACATCACAGTTGGTTTAGCAAAATAATTTATTAAGTGCCTCTACTTAATAGCCAAACAATTGTTTATGAGAACAAAGTTATCTATATCAGTTTGATATACGTTATATACCAAAGTATATTATTTTCTCCCATCACAAGTGGTTATGGGTCAGGAACCAAATAATTCCATCTTATTATTATTGATGTGCGGTGTAGATTTTGATTAACACCATAACGCACAAAGGTAGATTCTCAAAGTTGAGGTACCAAGTTAGTTTTTCTAACATGAGGGGAAGACATGATAAACAGTTGAGAAAAAGTTACATGGAATGAATTATTATTTATACATCTCGATCCTCGAATAAGATAATATGAACTTGAAGTTCATAAAGGATAATTCATCTGCAATATATTGCAAAGCATGCCGGACGCATTTGCTGACCCAAAGAAAGTAACTATATTCTCATTGCAAATGCTCCTATTAAGTCTAAGGACAAAGTCTATGGTAAGCTTAAAGCGTATAGAAAATCGGTTTCAAATAAACTTCTTGATAAAGACGATGAGCAAATGATCAAAATGTTCATAATAAAGGAGGCAAGTGTTCTAGAAGATCACATGACATAACACTTCATAAAATCTCATGAGAGATTCAAGTACCTGAATATATGAATGAAGAAAACTCTATGTTATGTCTTTATGAAAAATAAGGAGGTTGGAACCGATATAGAATGTTCGTCGACGACATCTATGATAGCGGTAAATATATATGAGGATCTTAAGTCGGAAGAAACAATTTCGAATAGAATTGGTTTCACGTGAAAGACATGTAGTTTTGAACATGTAGTTCAAACACTTGAAAGTATAAGTCAATGGTATGTGCAATCAGTTTTCGTTATCTTATATGTCTAGCATGACATGAAAACTTGATATGCATCTAAAGTCTACTATATGGCTTATATAACTTAACAATCTCTGAAGGATTTAAATTGCTTAAAGCATATAGAATTCATGGTCATGAAGTACTACATCCTCAATGCAATTTGTGCACAAATGTATCTTGCTATAACTATATGCATGATAATATGATAGCAAGAGTTTTCACCTCTATGTGAAGATATTAAACTGACGATTCCAACAAGATCATATGAAGACAATCCATCTTTATCAAGAATGATGATTTCAAGGTGCAATATATTCATCAAGTATATGGCTGATTTGTTTATCAAATATCTACCAAAGATCTTTTAAAGATGGTGCACAAGATTGGAATGCAAATGCTTAAGGATGTGAAGTGATGCTCTCATGAGGGGGAGTTAATACGCGTTGTACTCTTTTTTCCTTACAAGGTTTTGTCCCACTGGGTTTTCCTTGCAAGGTTTTTAACGAGGCAAACGAAAGGCGTATTATTAGATATGTGTACTTTTTTTCCTTCTCTAGAATTTTTTTTCCTACTGGGTTTTATTTTAGTTAAGGTTTTAACGAGGCACATTATCTGTTGAATAGACATTCAAGGGGGAGTGTTATAAATAGAATTTTATTTATTGCGAATGTCTATATTTAGAGAGATTCTAGGGTTTATTACTAGGTGGCTAAGTCACCCTCTCTTTATGAATAGAGGGTTCTATTCCATTGTAATTCATCCCATATCAATAAGAATTCTCTCTCTCTACTTTTCTCTGTACTATTCTTCTTCTTTTATTGTTTCATAACAGTACTCTTTTCTACAAGGTATAATTTAATTATTGTTTAAACGAAAATAAAATTATAAAATTTACTATTAAGGCCTTAATTTTGGGAGCGAAAATAAAGACTTTACTAGCTTATCCCTTGAGCCGCCCTGCATGGAACTATCTTTTTTTAAATAGATTTTCCATTACATTGGGCGATTGGGGAAGGGATAATGGAAATCGAAATCATATATAGACTCATTATAATAGGATTAATACAATTAAATAAGTCACAAAAAACAAATGTTAACATTTCAAAGTTGTAGCAGAAATCAGAGGACTCTGAGTTTCTTCTTCTGCTAAACTGAGATTTGAGTATCAAACAGAACTTAGTAATGCAGCTGAACTTGCGATGAATGCTTCATCTTTCCTCACAATTCTTAGCCTCTTCACGCGATCCGTAAACTGGCTGTTCATGTAGTCATATATAATATAAAAGTTTAAGTTGTATGCACTGATGAAATAACAGATATTTAAAACCTGCTAGCACAGGTTAAACTGTAAAAATAGCACGGGCTAGCCAGTTTTTGGACTAGTCATTAAAAAATAGCCAGTATTTGCAAAGTCATTGAAAAATAGCCACTATTTTGCTGCAACAAGGAAAATTTCCAGCATAATATAGTGGAGATTCGAGCACCTGTGTATGAACTTCCAGCATATTATGCTGGACCGGTATATTATACTGGAACTCTAGTATATATATGTTGGAAGTCCAGTATACTTTGCTGGAACTCCAGTATATACTGGAGTTCCAATATACTTATGTTGGAACTCCAGTATATTATACTGGCATTTCAGTATATTATGCTGGAATAGTTTTCGGATTTTGAACAGTGTTTTCGTTCAGATTTATCTTTACATAAAAAGTGGCTAAATTTCGATTACTTTTGAAACTGTGGCTATTTTTGAGTGACCTCTTGTAAATCTGGCTATTTTTGAATTTCTTTCGATAAACTACATGACTAATAGTGTAAGAAAATCTTTACGCTAATAGCCAAATTATTCTTATTCATAAATAAAGGGGAAAAAAGAGAAGTTTAATAATAAATCTCACTTCCATGGAACATCTCCTACGGTCCTCCACTGCTCATCCCTCCCCTTGTAAAATAGGGAAAATTCTGAACCATCTTGAAATAGCCTTAGTCCGGATATGGATTGCTTTCCTACACAAATATAGTTATCAGTAGCGGATCCAGAATTTTAACTTCGTAAATATTTAACTTTTTTTTACGTGCAGTTACTATCAATCATATAGTACAAGTGTACAACTATGGATACATGTCGGCCAAAAAAGCTAATAAAAAACTTATATTAATATTTTGGACGCGTGTAACAAAAAATGCAATTTGCTAGAATTTTTATTTGATGAATTTTGCCACTCTAGGGGAATTATTCGTTTTCTGGAGTTTCTTTTATTCTTTGCTATAGAGAATTATTAGGTAAAATAAAATAAAAAAAGGGGGGGGGGGGGGGGGAGGGGGAAGGTAAAACAAAATTCAGGGTAAAAGTAGTCCGAAAAGGAAATAAATAAAGTAGTAGTATTGGTCAAAAAAGTAACTACGGAATAAAATAAAATAAAAAAACATAATTGGGGTAAAAGGAAGAAAGTAAAAATTATCCTGTTACGACCGAGGTTCGAGCTCCCGGCCCCCTCACTTAATTGAAGCCGCTATTGCCCTTCCTTGACCAAAGCACCCATCAACCTTTTTCTTTCCTGGGTGCTTCCTGGAATAATATATCAATTCCCTCAAAATTTCTAAATAACTATACACACCCTGTGTCAAGGTTAATGGGTGCTGAAGCATCCAAATTTAGTATATAGATCCGCCTAGGACAGTTATATACTTCCTCTGGTCTATATTATCTGTCTTTTAAGGTTCTTACTCTTAATAAAGAGATTTGATAGCCTTAAATCGTAAGAGTACTTGTGTAAATTACCTTTTATCTATCTCTAAATATCTCACTTAATTAATAGTCCACTAATTAGAACAACAAGAGTGATATGAAAAAGTAACAAATGATTACATCTTATTTTTCTAAAATGTCCAATATATTGGATAATTCAGTTTGCAAAAACGATTAGTATTTGAAAAGAGAGGTTGTTTGTTAAAGTATGATTTTCTTATTAGAACTTTTTTTTTTTTTTGGTTTAAAAGGAGAATATATTGCATTAAGTAGGAAGCAATATATTAGAACTTTGATACTATAGAACATACCAAACATGTCTTCTAGTTGTATTGCAAGGCTAGAATAGTCTGAATGTTCAAGAATGCAAATTTTCCTGCCAACAATAACTCTATCCATGTTAACTTTCACATAAGCCCAACTCTCTTTGCTTTGAATTCCTTCAGCTTCTTCATCATAATTTTCCACAAAATTAGTAGGATATTGATCTGTTCTTGAATTATTCCTTAGTTGGGGATGCAGATGTTGCCAATCTATCAGCTCATCATAGCCACCTAACAATAAGTACTGAATAATGAGCAATCTCACATTTAATTTTTTGGGGAAAAAAAATAGATGGTGAAAGACCTAATAAGCAAATAAGTTTGATCGGATCCTATATGATCATGTGCTATGTTGCTTCGACTCTTCAAAAATATCGCCTGGTGCGTAGCGGATCCTCCAAAAGCAGTGTATTTTTAGAGGATCTGACACGGGTGCGGCAGCATTAGAGGCGGAGCCACATGCACTCAAAGGGTGTCAACCGACACCACTTCGTTGGAAAATTACACTGCATAGCTAGGTCATTTTTTTTAATAATATGTATATACACTATGTATTGAGATCCATTGACTTCTTGATGAGTTTATTTCTTTATATTTTGAACCTCCTTGATGAAATTTCTGGCTCCGCCACTGGGCAGCATTTTGGAGAAATGTGTAGGGGTGGAGGTAGAAGCCCACATAAGGTTTCGACCGAAACCGAATAACTTTTATTCAAACAGTGTATTTGTATTAAAAAAAATTATTCAGTACGTACACGTTAAATTTAGAATTAGATATTACTAATTAGCACTTGAAGTCGTCTTTCGAAAATTTAAAACCGATAAAGTTAAAATCCTGACTCGTCATTCTAAAATTTAGAAGCTATAAAGTTGAAATCTTGACTCGTCGTTCTAATATTTCTAACATTTTTGTCTAAAACTTCAAAAGAGACAAAGGTAAACTAAATGCAACTCAATAAAATCTTGTTAATTTAGAATGTCATTGCAAGAACCAAACATGGAAAAGTGGAAAAAATGGGAAAACACATACATACCATGAGCAGATGGATAATAGGCCTCAGGCTGCAAAACTCTAAGGCTAAGCCCCAAATCAATGAAGTTACCATCCTCTCTATTGCCTTGATAATAAATAGAAGGAATAGTAGCATGGTTTAGGAGATAGTCAGAAGAATTAGAATCCATTTGACTCTTTCACAAAACAAATATTGATATGTTTGTGCAGATAGAAGTAAAAGTGATGCTTGAAAAAAAGAGACATATATGCTCTATATAAAGTAGTATTTTTTTAGTGGCGGATCCAGAATCTAAAAGTAGCGAGTTCAAAGTTAGCATAGACCTATTTTTTATATGTATGAATATTTTTGCACATATATACGCATTTCGATCAAAAGATACTACCAACAAATGTGAATTTTTGATCGAAGTCGAAAATCACTCCTTGGCTTAGTTGCTCGGATTCGGGTGTGGGTATTCGATACGGGTACGGATTCGACAAAATCTAAATTTTAAGATTTGAGGGTGGGGATCCAGGTATGGATAAGGGTACGAGAATTCGGCTAAGAAAATTCAAAATTATAAATAAAAAAAAGAGCTATAAAGAGAAAAAGAAAGTCATTCAAGGCCTTCCACCAACTCTCCGTCTATATCGCTCCTACTATCTACCAGAAGTCCAAACTCAGTTTACGACCCCTTGAAGTCTTGGTTTTTTCTGAAATACAAAGTAGCAAATATGAGACAAAAGCACTATAATATTGAAGGTATGACATTTTCCGTGTCTTAAATCTGTTTTATTTTTAATTTTGAGAAATCAAAATCTCAATTTTATTCCCCAAATTTATCGATGGACTTAGGTCAAAGTATCCGAAGTTAGTTGATCGAATCCGGAACGTAACCCGAATTCGTCCCGTGTCCAGACGGGTTCGGCACAAAAAACGAAGAGCCTCGTGCAACTTAGCTCTTTGGGGCTTTCCATTGGAAGTCCCCTTCTGACGGGGCGTCCGTCAAAAATTTGCATTTAGTTGTGACAATGAATTCAGTTGAACTCGCAGAACGGTCCTATTTTCTCTTGTACTGTTTATGTCCATGCAAAACAAAACAGAGGTGCTGCAAGAAAAGAAATAAATCTAGCTAGGCTCAGAGAATGCAAACAAGAGCAGGGACATGGAAAGAGAAGGAACTCATTGCCCATAATCAATCATTGTAGTGCTAGTTAATTTTTGTATTTATTTCTGACATTTATAACATGGAAAATCTAAATGGATCAAACAAAAGAACAAGGGATGGGCTCAATCAATCCAACAAAAGTAGGGTTGATATGCTGCATACCTTTAACACTACAGAGATCTTTGTCATCTGTTCTCATTCAGGCCTTCAATTTGTGACAGTCATCTGAGGCAGCCTGACATGCTTGTATGTATGTAGTCGGCAGCAGAGTCAGAATTTTCATCACGAAAATTTAAAATATAATGAAGTAAATATACGGAGAAATCAAGAGGAATATTCAACATTTACTATATATACATAAAATTAATTTTGACCTTATATATACGGTGTAATTTCCGAGGAAAGTACGATGAGATACATTGGTGTCTAACACTCAATCAGTAAACATTTTAAAATCTATATATCATGAGGTACTAACCTACTAGTCCATGAGTAGGTACTAACCTACTAGAATAGAAACTACGATGAGATAAAAGAAACATTGTCCATGAGTCATGAGGTACTAACCTACTAGAATAGAAACTACGATGAGATACATTGGTGTCTAACACTCAATCAGTAAACATTTTAAAATCTATATATCAATCACAAATGAAATTTTATTTTCAAACTCGTTTTGAGAAAGCCATATCAGCTAGTGTTTGAAATAATTTGGCAAACCTTGGTATGCTTGTAGAAGTAGTTTTAATCGAGGGAATTCAAAAAGTAAAATATGTGACACCTAATATATGTACATGAAAAAAAAATTAACCCCCTTATTATTACACACTACTAGAAATTCGCTAAATACCGACCAGAAAAATCGATCAACTTTGGCCGGTTAAGGCCAATTACCGACCAAAATGCGGCCAAATACGTTTGGACGGTATTTTGATGGTCGTTTTAATATATCGACCAACGTTGGTCGGTATATTAAAACGACCATCTGAAGAATTTAAATAATTTACCGATCAACTTTGGTCGGAAACATATTTTGTTAATTTAATTTTACCGACCAAAGTTGGTCGGTGTATTTAATTTATGTTTTTTAATTAATTATTAAAATTTAAAAAAAAACGACCAAAGTTGGTCGGTAACTGAATATATATATATATTTTTAAAATAATTAAAATTTAACAATACCGACCAAAGTTGGTCGGTAATGTTGAATTCTGGGAATTCCTTGTTCATTAACCGACCAACTTTGATCGGTAATAGTCAATTATTTTTTTTAATGAATACCGACCAACTTTGGTCGGTAATTTGCAAATATTTTTTTTATTAGAAACCAACCAACTTTGGTCGGTTTTTCTGGGTATAATTTGGCATAAAATGCCTGTTTTGGTAGCTACACCACCTACCAGCATACCAATACAACAACAACAACAACTGAACAATAACATAACAACAACAACAACAACAACAACAACAACAACAACAATAACAACAACAACAACAACAACACAACAACCAAACATTCAATAAATACTTTAAAACTAACAAATTAAAGTTCAATTGAACATAACAATCCAAAACTAAGTTAAAACTAATTACAACAAGTTCTAGACTGGTTCTATCTGTCTAGTTCAAAGTATATAAAAGTCAAGGGGTATTTTGTACAACATCATTATCACCGTCTGATGATCTTTCATCTAAAAGACGGTATAGAGAAGGGTCTTGTGGTGGACAGGAAGAACGATCACGGGAAGGACAGGAGGAACTATCACGGGGAGGACGGGAGAAACGATCACGAGCAGGACGGGAGGAACGATCACGTGGAGGTTGAACATCTGGCGATGACTCACGAGACCGGAGCAACGGAAAAGCTCTAGTAGATAGGAGAGTTCTGATCTGAGCTTGCATGCCAAGGAATTAAGCATCTCTAACCCTTTCTCTTTCCTTGGCCGCTTCTAGCTCGGATGTGAGCTTTGTCACAGTCTCCCGCATAGCGGAGAGGCTCTCCCCATTAAGTTGCTCGCCTTGCGAGGAAGTCCCTATTCCTTGCATTCCACACTTATAGCGATGGAACTTTTTAGTAGGAAGCCCGTATACCTTCCCCCATTTTGGACCGCCAACAGACTCCAACCATATTCTTTCAGCATCCTCGTCCGAAGGTTGGGTTGGCTCGCCCGATTCACCAGCTGGATGACTGCGAATGAATTCCTCCATGTTACTTTGGTAGCGACCCTATATTATTTTAAATTGAATCAGTATTTCAAAATTCTTATAAAAGTAAATTATAATACTTAAAGAAAAGTGAAAGCTTACATATGCGGTCAAGGCCCGGTCCTCGACCCACCTTTCTTGATCCGTCTCTTTCTTCTTCTTTACAATATGCGTCTCCTTGAATAGCTCATCATTGCTCATTGGATGCCCCAACTTCTTTTCCCGAAAATAAATTAATTTAGTTAATAAACAGAATATATATACTTTGAAAAGTAAAATAATTTAAGCAATTACGTACCAATCTTCTTTTTATTGTCACTAGGCTGATCGCACCTCCAGTGTGCAAGGAGCCTCCCTTCTCGGATGCGCGAGCTTTCTTTCCTTTTCTGGTTCTCTCTAAGAAGTCTGCTGTAAGCCATTGCCTTTGCAAATCATCCCATAAATTCTGAAGTAACCAGCCATGCCTCTTGTTCTTCTTTCTATCATCGGAGAAAGCATCCGCCAATCTCTTGCAAGCTTTATGATGAAAATTTGCAGCCACTTCCGCACTATAGTGGTCTTCCCATACACACTTGCTCTGTATTTCAAAAGTTAAATATTATATGGAAACATCATAAATATAAATTATTAAACTGCTTAAAAGAACATTTATACCTTAAATTGATTGAAAATTTGCTCCTTCAACGAGAATGGGAAATCAGTCCAAGTCGCATAAGAGCCATCATAAAGCTTTCTGATGGCATTGGTGATTATCCTTATAGTCTTATTACTCGGCTTGAACCTGCAATTTAACAATAAAAACACATCAATATCTTAGTAAAAACGTTACAAAACAATAAACGCAAAAATAACAATTAACTCTTACCCATCACCCTCAAGGACTATGATGATCCTGCCATATTGATCATAATGCACTTCCTCATCATCATCCTCTAAAGCATGTGTATCAGAGGCATGTGTGGACGGTGTAGGGGGGTCAGAGCTACTGTCTCGCAGGCGAAGGCCTGAAATAGATGGAGGCTGCGATCCCTGTGACTGCGACATAGCTGGATGCGACCCAAGTGGCTATGATACTGATGGCTGTGACCCGAGTGGCTGTGACCCGAGTGGCTGTGACATGGATGGATGCGATCCATGTGGCTGTGATATGTAGGGATGTGATATAGATAGTTGCGATGCAGATGGCTGCAATCCACGTGGCCGTGAGGCAGCTGGACTGTATGTTGGACGTATTGTCCTATGGCCCTGTGATGAAAGACCTGGTGTCTGGATGAAGGTGTAGGGCTCGTGATGCTATGACAGCTCAGTATAGCCGTATGGTGGAGGATAAGACATAGGCATCTCTGAAGAGGGTGGAAAAGAGGGAGTATTATTATCTACCCTCCTCTTTCCCTTCCTAGCCTTTTCTCGACCCCGAGAACCATTAGGGTCATTGTTACCTTGACCCTTGCCTGCCATCTGCATAATATAATACATATTTAGATTGAAACATATAAGAAACTAGCTATAAAACGAGAGTGTTTTAAAAAACCAACTTTTTAATCCTCATCGACGTATTGTTACTCGTCCGAGAATTCTTCGTCCTCACTTGTTTGAGCTTCATCAGTTGATTCTTCGTCCTCATTTTCTATAATTGTTACTTCATTTATATCAACTTCTTCCAAAATGCGTTCAGGATGTTCCAAATTATTTTCTAACTGATCGTCCACTATTTGGTGAACACTGGAGATATCGTTTTGATATGCAACATCTAACACATTCTCGACTTCCATTCTACCTACAGGCTTAGTTTTATTACAACCCACCAATTGGAC